AGGGCGGGCCCAGGGCCAGTGGGAGCTTGTCAGCCAGAGAAGGCCAGGGTGAGGGTAGGGGCCCGATCTCAGGAAAGGTGAGGTAGGTGGAAAGATGAGCTATGGCTCAGCACACACCCACAGCACTCCAGCACGTGGGTGCATGCAGACACACGCATGGCACAGACACATGGACACGTCCGTGCACATGCATGGGCCCACATGGACACAGACACAAGCATACATGTGCACATGCATGTGCATGCACCTGCAAGCAGAGAAAGATGACACACACTCACAGACACATTAATGCACACACATCAATGTAGCCGCACGAATCCAGTCACACGTGTGCACACACACTCACACATGTAGACAGATACATGGACCCAGACATACATACATACATGAAGAGACACACACAGACACAGATGCATAGACCTAGCTGCATGCATGGATGCATACTCACAACAGATACACATACACATGCATGCACAAACACCAATGCATGGACCCAGCCACACATATGCAGGCACAAATGGACACAAATGAACAGATCCAGCCATATGTATGCATACAGAGACATGTGCACAACACACACATGTGCTCACATGTGGACCCAGACACACAAACCCAGACACACGCACGCATGCTCACATGTGGACCCAGACGCACAAACCCAGCCACACGCACGCATGCTCAGCATGTGGACCCAGATGCACAAACCCTGCCACATATGCACACATGCTCACATGTGGACCCAGACACACAAACTCAGCCACACATGCACACATGCTCACATGCAGACACAGACACACAAACTCAGCCACACAGGCACACATGCTCACATGTGGACCCAGACACACAAACTCAGCCACATATGCACACATGCTCACATGTAGACACAGACACACAAACTCAGCCACACACGCACACATGCTCACATGTAGACACAGACACACAAACTCAGCCACACACGCACACATGCTCACATGTGGACCCAGACACAAACCCAGCCACACATGCACGCATGCTCACATGTGGACCCAGACACAAACCCAGCCACACGCACACATGCTCACGTGTAGACACACACACAAACCCAGCCACACATGCACGCATGCTCATGTGTAGACACAGACACACACACCCAGCCACACACACATGCATGCTCACATATGAATGCACACAGATGGGGACACAGACATACAACATACACACATACACAATGACATGCAGACCCACATGAATCCAACCTCACACACACACACACACACACACACACGCAGATGCAGACCCCAAAAGACTGAGCAGACACAGAGCATCCACCACACACGGGGGACCCCACCCTGCACAGCAGGAATCCAGGACAAATGGGAGGGTCGGCTGTGCGCCGCGGGCTGTTCGGCCAGTCCACCCACCAGCGACTTGTCTCCTCGGCAGCCTGGCCGCCGCCTGCCAACCGCCCGCACCCAGATTGGATTCAGCTACGGTTTCACTGCTGTCACTCAGAAGAATGGTCTCATTCAGGCCACCTGCTCCCTTGCTGGACAGCTCACATCCCCCTCCTGCCTGGGCACAGAGGCCCAAGCCCCGTGCCGCCCTGCCCTCCAGAGCCCTCTTCCCCCAGGCAGAGCTATCCAGTGGCTTCACCCGGCAGAACCAAGGCTGAGGGCCAGGGACTGGCCCAGGAAGCCCCCAGCAGCCTCTTGGTAGGAGCTATGCCCCTGGGTCTGGAAAGGAGGCCTGGACTGTTCCCGTCAGGGACATAATCCCACATTCCTCAGCGGGCAGCCCCCTCCCCCGTGCTGCGGTAGGTGTGGACATGGAGGGTCCCGGAGGGCACAGACCAGATGCAAGGTGGCAGGAGAGGGGCAGGCAGGGTCTGGAAGGGCCAGCGAGGGGTCTCCAGCAGGTGCACGATGTGGGCTCAGAGGGCGATGGAGGCGAGGGCAAGGTGAGGACTATGGGTCTGGGGCTGGTTCCGCATCAGGGGGATGTGCCCAGAGGACCCCAGATGCAGGACAGGGGGATGATGAGGCCTTTCTGGGGACCTCCTTAAGGAAGAGGCTGTGTGCAGGGGTGGGGTGGAGCCAGACACCTGAGAAGATGGGGCTGAACAGGGCTTCCTGTGGTATCCCGGGCCCTTCCAGCCTGGACACGGGCGGCACAGAGACCAGGGTGGGCTTGGGCCATACAGCCGTCTGGAGATGCCCAACAAAGGTGCCCAGTGTGATTGGGAGATGCGGCTGCTCCCCAGGGGCTCCTTCTTAGGTCCTCCGCCGAACACGATTCTCCTCCTCCGCAGGTTCTCCTCCGCAGGGTCCTCCTCCTCCTCCCCAGGTCCTCCTCCTCCTCCCCAGGTCCTCCTCCTCCTCCCCAGGTCCTCCTCCTCCCCAGGTCCTCCTCCTCCCCATGTCCTCCTCCTCCCCAGGTCCTCCTCCTCCTCCCCAGGGTCCTCCTCCTCCCCAGGTCCTCCTCCTCCTCCCCAGGTCCTCCTCCTCCCCAGGGTCCTCCTCCTCCTCCCCATGTCCTCCTCCTCCCCAGGTCCTCCTCCTCCTCCCCAGGGTCCTCCTCCTCCCCAGGTCCTCCTCCTCCCCATGTCCTCCTCCTCCTCCCCAGGTCCTCCTCCTCCTCCCCAGGGTCCTCCTCCTCCCCAGGTCCTCCTCCTCCTCCCCATGTCCTCCTCCTCCCCAGGTCCTCCTCCTCCCCAGGTCCTCCTCCTCCTCCCCAGGGTCCTCCTCCTCCTCCCCAGGTCCTCCTCCTCCTCCCCAGGTCCTCCTCCTCCCCAGGTCCTCCTCCCCCCAGGTCCTCCTCCTCCTCCCCAGGTCCTCCTCCTCCTCCCCAGGTCCTCCTCCTCCCCATGTCCTCCTCCTCCTCCCCAGGTCCTCCTCCTCCTCCCCAGGGTCCTCCTCCTCCCCAGGGTCCTCCTCCTCCCCATGTCCTCCTCCTCCTCCCCATGTCCTCCTCCTCCCCAGGTCCTCCTCCTCCCCAGGTCCTCCTCCTCCTCCCCAGGTCCTCCTCCTCCCCAGGTCCTCCTCCTCCTCCCCAGGGTCCTCCTCCTCCCCAGGTCCTCCTCCTCCTCCCCAGGTCCTCCTCCTCCTCCCCAGGTCCTCCTCCTCCCCAGGTCCTCCTCCTCCCCATGTCCTCCTCCTCCTCCCCAGGTCCTCCTCCCCCCAGGGTCCTCCTCCCCCCAGGTCCTCCTCCCTAGATATCCCTTCTCCCGAAAACCTCCCCCTTCCTCCTCCTCCCTGATCCCTCCTCCCCTTCCTCCTCCTCCCTGATCCCTCCTCCCCAAGCCCACCTCCCCTCCAAGCCTCCTTTCCGGGCCTCCTCCTCAGGCCCACAGAAGCCCCTGTGAAGGCAGCAGACTGAGGTGAGGCTATAATTTAAAATACATTTATTTCGTGTTTCCATTTGTTTCCGGTTCTGTGACACAAAGCTGTTAAATAAATACATTCTCCACAGTCCCTCCGGGACGGGCCACACAGATGAGGTAGAGAAATCATTGCACACGGGACTCGGAGCACACGTAGGGCCCCTCCCGCCCGCCCGCACCTGGCCAGAAGCCACCCGGGGGCCAGGTCCCCCATGGCGGGGCCCGGTGCAGAGAAGGTGGCTGGGTGCCCCGGCCAAGGAGCGGGCCGAGCCCCTCCCAGCAGCCCTTTGTCCTCTACTGCCTCACGGAAGAGAAGCACGTGAAACAGGAGGCTCCGGCCAAGCGGCCTCTTCACCCAGCAAGACATTCGAATATATGTTTGTATAGACACCAACTCGCTGGCAGACATTTTCGGTCTGCCTTGTTTAAAAAAAATACTTTTCTGAATACTTATGACATAGAGCTAAATGTGGTATTTGATTAAAAATAAAAACCTTCCTCTGACTTGACGCCCTTCATAGACCCCACAGTGACTGAGTGAGTCTTGTCATGTCATGAGGGTGTGTGGCCAGCTGCACCGCTCGAGGTCTGCTGGGTGTGGACACAGCAGAGGGCAGGGCCACCCCCCCCCCCCAGCCAGGCCCGCACCAGACCAGGGACAAACCCAGCGTCCCGCACCCACACTGTGGTCTGGGGACGCAGCCACAGCCACGTGTCCGGTGCGCTCTGAACCACAGGAGAATAAACGTTCTTACGTACTGCAACACAGGGATGGCGAGACCCACAGCAACATAAACAGGTTTTCTTTTGAAAACTCAGACCCCCCTGGGCTTTCTGGAGACCTTCGGGGCTGGGAGACACCCATTCATTCAGTAGTTCCTGTGTCCACACTGTCAGCCCACCCAGCCCAAAGCCCCCGGAACACCCACCAGATGGAGTCCGGGGCGAGGCTCTGGGAACCTAAGGCAGCACCATGCCACCGACAGCACAGCACGGCGAAGTTGACCACGCGAGTACACATACACACATGCAGACCATGCCAGTACACACACACACACACACACACACACACACCACGCCAGCACGCGCACACGCACACATACACCCCGTGCCAGCACACACACAGATTACACCAGTACACACATACACACAGTACACACACACACACACACACTGACCACGCCAGCATGCGCACACACACACACATACACACCAAGCCAGCAAACACATACTGACCACAGCAGTACACACATACACACATACACAGACACCAGTACACGCACACACATCACACCAGCACACACACACTGACCACACCAGTACACATACACACACACACTGACCATGCCAGCACACAAACACACCGACCACACCAGCACACACACCGCTAGCACACACACACACCAACCATGCCAGCACACAAACATGCCGATCACACCAGTACACACACACACTCGCACAATGCACACACACCACGCCAGTACACACAGTGACCACGCCAGCACACACACTGACCACACCAGTACACACGCACAACACACTGACCAGTACACACAACACACCATGCCAGTATACACAACACACACACTGATCATGCTAGCACACACAACGCACTGACCACACCAGTACACACACAACACACACACTGACCACGCCAGCGCACACACTCTCACAACACACATGCACCACACCCTCAAACCAAGCCAGGTTAGTGTAGGTCACACTGTCCCCAGCAAACAGCAGGGCCATAAAGCACGGCGTTCTGTGGCCAGATGTGAGCCCGAGACTCCCTCCACTGGCCTCTGTCCCAATCTGTCCCCCAGGTAACACAGAGCAAGCGGCTTCCTCATGATATGACACGAACCAAAGGGCCGTCCTGCCCCTCAGTGCCCACACCCCACCGCCATCCCCAGCCCGAGAATCTGCTGAGCTGCCAGGCCGGGCCCTCTGCCCACAGGGTGCAGGGCAAGGGCCCTCGCTGGCCCACCACATGGCAGTGGCCAGCTGGCACGGGGCGAGGGGAGCTGGCTTCCAGATGCCCCAAGGGCTGTGGCCAGACACAGCTCACCGTATTTCCTTAACTACACACATCTATCTCGATTTAGTGGTTTCAAACAACTAAGCAGATCAGAGGCGGGGTTGGGAGGGAACCGGTCAGGGACAGACGCCGGGCCTCCCAGACTGGGGCTTAGCCGAGAGCGGGGAGCTGCAGCCGGGGAGGTGGCAGGGATGGAGAAAATAATTATTATATTAATTAAATAATCATAATTTAAGTCACTGATATTTACTCCAAAGAGAAGTGCTCAACGTCAGAGGTTGGCAGAGTCCCCCGAGCCTGGGCACCTCCACGACCGGGCCCCGCGGGGGCAGAACAGGCTGCGCCCTCTTCTAGTGGTTTCACTCTCTGAAGACAGTGCTGGTGTCGGGGCAGCCTGGGCCAGGCCAGTCCCCCACGGGTGGCCCACACAGAGGCCACGTGGTCACCAAGGTGCCTCAGAGGCGGTGGGGAGCAAAGCCAGTGGGCTGGTGTGGGCGCTGCTCCCCAGGGACTGGTGTGCTGGGGATGGGAGACAGCTCAGAAAGCACTGGAGCAATGCTCTCGGGTCAGACGGAGGAGGTCGAGGCCCAGGGCGTAAGCAGAGAGGTTGCACACACCAGACCAGAGCCAGCTCCCACCTCTGGGTCCTGGAGACGGGGAGACAGGGCTTAGACAGCCAACTCAGATGGCCCCCGGCCCCCTGCTTCAGCTGTATGCCCCAGGGTGCCAGGAAAGACCCTCAGTCCTTGCAGGTGTAGACCCCTCACACTGCGTGCATGGCCCTCATCCTGCACAGCAGGGATGAGGCCAGGCCCGGGCACTCGTCCCCTGCAGGTAGAGACCTTCTCACACCGTGTGCAATACCGGCACTCGGAGCAGCAGGGCTGGCTGGGCCCAGACACTCAGCCTTGCAGGTGGAGACCCTCCATGCCGTGTGCAATGCTGGCACCCTGGGCAGCCCAGCCCAAACACTCAGCTTTGCAGGTGGAGACCCTCCATGCTGTGTGCAATGCCTGCACCCCGGGCAGCTGGGCTGGCGGGCTGGGGACTCAGCCCTTGCAGGTGGAGACCCTCCATGCCGTGTGCAATGCTGGCACCCCACACAGCTGGGCTGGGCCCAGACACTCAGCCCTTGCAGGTGTAGACCTCCTCGCGCTGCGTGCACTGCCGGCACTCCACGTAGCAGCACCAGCGCACCTGGCACTGGCAGGGCCTCGTCACCACCCGGCTCTGCGTGTTGTGGCCACGGCCGCAGCAGATGCTCTCGCAGTTCTTCTCGCGGTGGCACCTGCGGCCGGCGGTGCCTGGGGAGAAGCGGCCGGCCAGGCAGAAGCTGGGTGAGTCGTCCAAGTGCACCAGCTCCGGAGTGCGGGGCAGCGGGTCACCACCGCCCGCCCCCGAGACGCGGCCCCGGGGAGGGGAGATGGCGCCTGCCTCGCCCGCGGCCTCGTTGCTGGTGCTGCCCACCTTGAGCGCCGTCTCGTACTTGTGCTTCAGGTGCTTGCCCACCTCGTGGAAGGGCGCCAGCTGCCGCCAGCAGGTCCGCACCGTGCAGGAGCCCGACACGCCGTGGCACTTGCAGGTGGTCTCCACCCCGGCCTTGATCACCTGGCAGGAGCGAGCAGGAGGGAGGACAGCGTGAGGGTTGTGGGGGGGGGAGGGCGCCCAATGAGCGGCCCCCGCCCTTGACCCCCCGGCGGACCCCGCACCTCCGCCCAGGCCACCACTGCGCCTCCCACATCCAGCTCAGGCTCCCGGCATGCAGGGCCACTCTGCCTCCTCCAGGCTGCTGACTGCCCTGGACACAGGCTCCAGGCACCTCAGCCCCCAGCGTGGCCACCCCTGCACCTGCACAAGGGGCTCCTGCCTGATGCCCACCCTGCATTGGGGGCTGCCCTCGGCACGGGCTGGACCTTCCATCCCCACGCTCATAATCCCAGTCCCACCAGGACTTCACGTCTGCTCTCAGCACAAGGCTCGCTAGACAGGTGAGGACAAGCGTGGCCTCACCCAGCGGTGTATGTATGAGCTGATCGCGACCTCCCTACCCCTAGAATCGGGAACCAGGTGCTATCGTGCGTGCAGACGCGGCCCCCAGCCTACCAGCGCTGAGGGTCAGGCTGCTGGGGGGCCAGTGCGGGCACGGCAGGATCAGGGAGACCCACGCTGCAGGAGAGAGAGCCCCTTACACCTCGACAGAGGGTCCAGGCTGGCCCCAGAGAGGGGTGCACCCCTCCCTACAGCACGGAGGGCCAGGTACCCACAATCCATACTGGGGGCTGCTACAGAAGCCTGGCTGGGTCTGTCCCCTCCTGGGACTTAGGGCCCCACCTGCAAAGATGGGCCTGGTGGGGAGGCCCCTTCCCAGGTGGGACCCGAGCCAGGCGGCTCAGCTCCCAGGCCAGCAGCCCCCAGGAGGGCTGGCTCAAGGAGGATAAAGACATGGCAGCCACCTCTGGCCGGCACCCGAAGAGTCACATGTAACGATGCTTTGCAGAGAAGCCGGGACCAACCTACTTAAAATGCTGCTGACCCAGGCTCTGCGGAGCTAAGGGCGCACCCTTCACGTTCTGACTTCTCATTAATCTCTTACAAAGCGTAAAGAGGGGAAGGGGTCAGGCACAAAGGAAAAGAAGGAGCCTTGCCTGGGGCTTGAATCCACTCTGCAGCCTCGCCCCTGCGCACCAGCCATCCCAAGGCGGAAGGAGGCACAAGAGGCCCCAAAGGGGAGGCTGATCCTTTAGAAAGGGGGCAACTGGGTACTCGGGCTTCTCCACAAGTGAGGCTCAGAGCAGGGCCGGCTCTCATTACCGCACCCTCCCCAGGCTGGGGCTCCACATTCCCGGCCTGCCTGGTGAATACGAAGATGAGGGCAGGAGGGAGAAACGCCCCTCAGCTTCCAACAGAGATGCCCATGCTGCCCATCCCTGCTCAGTGACTGCGGAGATGCTGGGGGCTCTGTGCAGAGTGGGGTTACAGGTCCAGTCCAGACTCCTCCAGACCTGTGAACCTGGGCACTGAAGGGCTGCAGACAGCACAAAGGATGAGCAGAGAGCCATGGTCACCCCGGGCCAGCCATGGCCGCAGCCAGTGCCCCCTGCCCGCTGAAGGACTCAGGAGAGACTTTTACCTCCAAGTCTTTAGGGCGGGATACTGTCCCTCAGAACAGAGGCCTGGCCACGGAGAGGGCTGCTGGGGCAGAACTGGATTCCCCTGATTTGGGTGAGTGGATACCATACCCTGCCCTTCCCCGGGACCCCCTGCCCACCATGCCTGCCACCTTGGTCTGCGGGTGCACGTCTTCCTCCCACCAGTCTTGGTGACAAGCCTGCTGGCCGGCTGGCACATGAGACCCACAGTCCCATGATCCCGGTTAGACCGCCTAACCAGGAAGACCCTCCTGGGGCCCCACAGGGTCCAGGCAGACATGGGGCACCCCTCCACGGCTAGCGCCCCATTTGGTGGGTAGGGAGCCATATGGGCATGAGAGGTTCCAGGGCCCCGGCTGGCACTGCACAGCCTCCACCCTCTTACAGGGAACACTCTGCTATGTGCCACCCCGGCCTGCAGCAGCCGCACCCCACCCCACCCCCACCCCCACGAGGCTCTTTGTCGCCCTCCTCTCCCACCCGCCAGCCCGCGCCCCGCCCCACTTGCCTTCACACCCACGAGGTTGTTGTGGAAGTCCACGCGCGCTCGCAGGTCCTTGCCGGCCCGCCGGCCCAGGAACTCCTTGACGAACTTGCTGCTGTACCTGAGGTTGTCCCCGCAGCCCCCCCACTGCCAGGCCTCGCGGTTCTCCAGGTCGGGCGCCTCGTCGCAGGTGCAGCGCTCCATGCGGCCCGCGCTGCACGCCTTGGCCAGGGCGTGCGTCAGGCCGGCCGACGAGATGGCGTAGAGGAAGGCGGTCTCCTTGAAGCCTGCGGTCGGCAGGGGCGGGTCGGTGAGCTCCCCCTTCCCTGCGCCGAGCCAAGCCACCCCAAGGGCATGAGTCCCACGTGGGGGCTCCAAGCATCTTTCCTGGGGCTGCACTCGGGACGGGGTGCGGGCGCGACCCGGGCGCGGGGCTGGCCGGGGCGGGGGAAACCAGCGCCGCCTTGGCCACGGCTCCGGGCCCGTGGTCACAGTCCTCGTCGGGGTCTCAAACCTCCCAGCCTCATCATGGGGCCCCTGGCAAGCTCCGCCTTGCCCTGGGCCCCGGGTCCCCAGTTTTTAAACAAGGTACTGCAGTGCAGTGGCACACAGCTGCAGCCCCAGCTGCCCCCGAGGCTGAAGTGAGAGGGTCGTTGAAACAGGCGGTGGAGAGCCCCTGGGAGCGGGTGGGAGGAGCCCCAGGTGGGAGGTGGTGGCGAGCCCCCAGGAGGGCGGGAGGGGTGGGAGGAGGGTCCGCACAGGCACGGCCACTGGGCACTGGGCCGTCTGGCAGAAGCCAAGGGCCAGCAGGGCAGCCGCGGGCAGCCTGGGTCCCCGTCAAAGGCCGAGCCAGCAGGCCCGGCCATCAGCAATGGCTGTGCCGATGGCAGGGCGGGGCGGCTGGTGCCCAGGGAGCTCAGGGGCTACGCTTTCCTGCGGCAGGAGGGTCCCAGGAGCGCGGCCCAAGGACGCGGCCTCACCTCGCCGGAGCAGGCTGGCCCGGTAGCGGCCCTCCAGCGAGCAGTTCCAGCGCTCGAAGCGGAACTGGAACTGGCACTCCAGCGCGCTCATGCTCACGGCCTCCAGCAGCGTCTCCGCCACGCCCGGGTCCCGGCGGCACATCCGCCGCTGCTTCCGCTCCAGCTTCAGCCGGTCGCAGGCCTTGTAGTGCGCCTGGGCGGCCGCCTCGGGCTCCAGGGTCAGCGGGAGGACGGTCAGGGGCTCGCTGCCCGTCAGCCTGGGCACGGAGAGGTCGGCGTGAGCCCGGCCCCGGGAAGCCCTGCCGGAGCCGGGCCACGTGGCTCAGTGGCCAGCGGACAGGGGACAGGCACGTCCGTCCGCGGGCGAGAGGGGCACACAGAACCCGGGATGAGCCAGGCGGGGGAGGGGGAGGGACACCCACGGCCTCCAGGCCAGCGAGCACGGTCTCAGCAACCGCACGGCTGTCCCTGCCGCTGACTCCACCCCCACGGTTTCAGGGAGTCTAGCTGACTCTGGCCACACTGGACGGCCGAGACCCCCACCACGCACACATACGCAAGAGGACAGCCCGGGCCAGAACTGTGGGCAGGGACTGCACAGCCTCCACCCTCTTACAGGGAACACTCCGCTATGTGCCACCCCGGCCTGCAGCAGCCGCTGGAGCCTGAACCCCAAGCTGTGCCTGATGGCCATCTGCCACACCCTCCACCCTCGTCAGCCCCAGCTGACCCACAGGACCCAGCGTGAGGTCATCCCCCACCCTCTGCCATGACCCGCTGGGATGTGCCCCGGTCCTGTGGCCCCTGGAGCCTCCTAGCACTCCTACAGTCTGCGCAGATATTCCCAGGGTCCGGCTGGGGCGTCCCCGCCTCGGTGGCTCGGTGTGCGGCACTGAGACCTGGCTTTTGGCTCCCTCTACTCCCCTCACCTCACCAAGCCTGGACATCCTCCTTTGCAGGACAGACCCCAGCTAACCCATCCCGTAAGCCACCCCTGGGGGCCTCTGAGCTAAGGCACACCACCCTCCATCTTTACACGAGGCTCAAATCACCCCAGCACTGAGGACACACCCCCAACCTCCACTGCCCCAGGCACCCGGCTCCACCCTACTGGGTGCCCGCTGTCCCCAGGCTGCCACTGTTGGGCTCACTGCACAGGCTTCCCTCGAACCCCACCCTGGCCCAGCCCAGTCCACACTGAGCCAAGGCCGCCCAAGCCCTGAGCCCGCCCCATGTCACCTGTCTATCCTGGGACTGACTGCCCAGGCTCTGCAGCTCTGTGTCAGACATGCCAGCCCAGTTACCCTACACTGAACGTCAGGGACCCCAGGCACGGCGCCACGGGGAGGGCAAGAGGGAACCGGCCAGTCTCGGAGCCTAGACACTGCCATGGGCTGACGCTGGGAGAGGCCTGGGGTGAGGGAAGGAGGCAATACACACAGGGCCCCTCAGACACCCTCGGGGTCCGGACAGAAGCACTGGTGGTGCTGTGGGCATCCATGCACAGACGATTCCAAGTCCCAGGTCCAGCGATGGGATATCCCAGGACAGCTGGGCACACAGAGCTGGGCGGGGGTGGGGGGCAGGATGGGGAGCAGGGCCAGGAGAGCCGCACTCCACACATGAAGGCAGCTTGCAGACGGGGACCTCCATCCCCAGATGGAATGCCACAGCTGTGCCCAGAATAGCTCTCAGGACAATGACAGCCTCCCACCTGTGCCTCTCCCCAGGCCTGGACCCACCAGGACCCACAAGCCCAAGCCACTGTCCCAGAAAACCCCTACAGCCAGGCTGGCATGGGCCCTCCACAAGTGTGGACGGGGGACACGGAGGCGGGAGCCAGAGGGCGCTAGAAAGAAGAGGGAGGAGGGAAGGGGGGGAGGGGGAGGGGAGGGGAAGGAGGGGGAGGGGGAGGGGAGGGGGGAGGGGGAGGGGAAGGAGGGGGGAGGGGGAGGGGGAGGGAGGAGACAGGGAGGGGGAGGAGGGGAGGGGGAGGGGGAGGAGAGGAGGGGGAGGGGAGAGGAGGGGGCCCATCTACCAGAGCCAGCCCTCCCTCCCTGTCAATGGGGACTGAGAATATCAGCCTGCCCTGCCCCCTCCCTGTGACCCACTGCCTTGCCCACACTGGTCAGGGTGAGGCCCGAGCATGCTGGGGCACTGAGAACTGGTTTGACAGTGACAAGCCGAGTCCTCCAGCCTTTCCTAGGGTGTCCCTGGAGCAGGTGGACAGCAGGGCAGCAAGTGTGGCTGCACCTGGAGACTTGCTGGGCCGCTGCCCTCCCCTGCGGCCCCAGGACACCCTTCCATCAGAGGCAGCTCTATAAACACAGCCGCAGGGGACTGACCCTGATCCAAGGCCAGGCGGGGTAGGCTGTCAGCACTGGCAAAAGGCTGTGGAGGGAGAGTGACCCCCAGCCCAGGAGCCACAGGGGACGGCCTGAGGCCTGAGGGCCACACAGTTCCCTGGAGCAGTCACTGCGTGCCGCGCTGCCCTGGCCATGCCCCTTTACTGTCAGGGTGGGCCCAGCATTGGCCAACCAGGGGGACCCAGAGCCTCAGGGGCTGCAGGTCTGAGGATAAACAGGCAGACGGCGCCACCGGGCACACTGGGGAGCATGGCGGGCAATCTTGGGGCCTGAGCCCAGCAGAGGAGGCCCAGGAAGGAGGCCCAGACCCTCCTGACAGGTGCGGCTCTCAGGACAGGAACCTGCCACAAGAGCTGAAGAAGGGAGGTATTGTTCCCAACACAACCTCAGAACTGGGAAGCTTTCTTCCATGACACTCAGAACCCAGAAGACACTGAACAGCAAATACATTTGACTACTTAGAAGTATAAAAATCAGGCCGGGTGTGGTGGCTCACGCCTGTAATGCAAGCACTTTGGAGGCCAAGGTAGGCGATCACCCAAGTCGGGAGTTCAAGACCAGCCTGACCAACATGGTGAGACCCCGTCTTTAAAAAAAAAAAAAAGAAAGAAAAGAGTGGCAAAACCAAAAAAGAGATGGCGCAAAGTCCAGAAACCAGCTGACAGACGACGTCCGGGGCAAACCCTGCAACTCTCATCCAGACCAAGGCCCGCGCTGTGCACACGTGTGTCTGGACGTGTGTCTGGACACAAATCTCTTCCTAAAAACCAATAACAGACGAACCGACTGAACACAGACAGCGAGTATAAACCCACAGGTCAAGGGAAGGAAACCAACTGGCTCTTCAACCCTATGAGCCGACACTCAGCCCCGCTCCAAGACGCGCTATGCCCACCGTCCCAGCCGCTCCAGAGACTGTGACGGGGCGGGGGAGGTTCGTTTAAGCCCCAGAACTGGAGAGCAGCCCAGGCAACAGAGCAACACCCCATCTCAGGAAAATATATATATTATATAAATACATTATGCTTCATTAATTAATAAGCACGTTATCAAATGTGATGAGAATAAAGACACGGGGAGACACTTTCGTGGCTGGAATTCCAGACCGACACATAACCCCCCGCACGGGCTCTGAATGTTTGCACCTTCCTCAAATTCATATGCTCAAACCTAACACCATCGAAGTGGTGGCATTAGAGGTGGAGCCTCTGGAAGGTGATTAGGTGGTGAACAGGATTATGTCCCTACAGACCCCAGGCCAGGCACAGCGGCTCACGCATGTAATCCCAGCACTCGGGGAGGCCAAGGCGGGAGGATCACCTGAGGTCAGGAGTTCAAGACGAGCCTGGGCAGCATATTGAGACCTGGTCTTTACAAAATATTTAAAAATTAGCCGGGCACGGTGGTGCGTGCCTGTGGTCCCAGCTACTCAGGAGGCTGAGATGGGAGGACCACTTGAGCCTGGGAGGTCAAGCCTGCAGTGAGCTGTAGTTAAAATACTAAAAAAATAAAATAAAAGGGGCCCTAGAGAGACCGTTGCGTGAGGACACGGTGAGGAGGCCCTGTCCGTGAACCAGGAAGTGCCCCCGCCAGACACAGAATCTGCTACACCTTGACCTTGGACTTCCAGCCTCCAGAGCTGAGCGGCACACTCCTGTGCTCTGACGGCTCGCAGGCTGTGGTGCTTCGCCGCAGCAGCTGCATAGACTAAGACGCCTGCCAATTCTCTTTCTGGAAGCACAGGCTGCACGCGCACTGCACCTTCCTGGCACGCCATTCCGCGTAGCCTTGCGACAGGAACGTGCTGGAGACAGCAGGAGAGCAACGGCGAACATGGGATCCACACGCTCCGTGGCGTGTCACGTGGTCCGTGAGAGGCAGCGCCTGTGTGCATCCACGCCAGGTCACTCCGGGTGTGCCCAGAGGACAAGCGGAGCCCAGCAGTGTGTGGCTAAGCTCAGCGAGCGCTGCATGTGCGTGCATGTGTTTGCGGCCTCACTGGACCAAGCAAAGACCCAAGATGGAGGAAGCGCGTTCTTCCCTACACAGCTGTGAGTTGTGCCGGTGCATGGACGGCCTATCCAGAATCCACGCAGCTCGTGCCACGCTCAGCAAACGGTCCAGGCCCGGCCCGGGAGTTGGGGGCTGCAGTGAGCCACAGTCACACCACTGCATGCCAGCCTGGGTGATGGAGTGAGACCGTCTGGAAACAGAAAAACCAGCTTGCATCACCCCGGTTTCTGCGAAGGTGACAGCAGCCACCCTGGTCTTGTTCTTCGCCTTCAGAGGAATGCCTTCAACGTTTCAGCACGAAGCCTGACTCTCAGACGCCGTTTCAGGCCCCAGAGGCATCTTTGGTTCTTTGCTTGCTAAGAACCTTTAAAATCATAAATGGGTCTGGGCACAGTGGCTCACACCTGTGACCCCAGCACTTTGGGAGGCCAAGGCGGGCAGATCACTTGTGGTCAGGAGTTAGAGACCAGCCTGGCCAACATGGTGAAACCGTGTCTCTATTTAAAAAATAATAACACAAAATTTAGCCAGGCGTGGTGGCGCAGCCCTGTAATCCCAGCTACTCGGGGGGTGGAGGCAGGAGAATCACTTGAACCTGGGAGGCGGAGGTTGCAGTGAGCCGAGATAGCGCCACTGCACTCCAGCCTGGGCAACAAGAGAGAGGCTCCATCTCAAAAAAAGAAAAATCCTAAGTGGATACTGAATGTTATTGAATGTCGTCCCTACATCTTTCGAGGTACGACTCCTCTCTCATCTACTAAGGTGAGAAGCTACAGAAACTGGCAGAAACTAGCCGACGTTCTGTGGAAGCTTGTCTTCCCAGGCTGAACCTGACCAGGACAGGCTGGATGACTTCTGACAGTGTCTTCCTAGGATTT